CACACTGCAATGGAGGCAACTAAATCGAATCAGGGGATACATAGGGATATGCAGTGGTAGACTGAAAGGGAGAGATCAGTCTTTGTTTATGGTTCCAGGAAGTTGAAAGGGAAACTTACGAACAAGAAGACAAGGGGAGACAAAAGCGATTGCAAGCATCATGAAAGCAATAGGAGAAGATGACGTGACCCAGCTGGCAAATTTTCTGAGAATGGTGGTGTTTGCAAGATGAAGAATCCGGCCAGTCAAAGTGATTTTCAATGCAGAATCGGTTTGAAATAGGATCATGCAGGAAAAAGCAAAGCTAAGGGACATGTCGGCGTACCGGAGGGTGTATCTTGAATGTGACAAAATGTGAGGAGTGGCATGAAAGAATCAAGGAGACATCCCCAGACATAATAGTACTCACAGAAACGAAACTCAACAGGATGATAACAGATGCAATCTTTCCACTCGGATATCAAATCCTCAAGAAAGATAGAGGGATAGAGGGGAAGGAGGAGTTGCTCTGCTCATTGAAAACCAGTGGGGATTTGAGGAAATGGAAGGAATGGATGGAATGGGCGAAAGAGACTACATAGTACGAACAACCCAGTTTGACGGCCATGAGGTGGTAATTGCAGTAATGTACAACACGCCATAGAACTGCAGGACGCCAAGAGAAGAATACGACGAGAGCAACAGAGCAATGTTAGACACACTAGCCGAGGTGGCTAGAGGAGCTCACATGGGAAGAGCAAAGTTAATAGTTGTGGGTGATTTCAATGACAAGGAGAATGACTGGGAAACCTGGAGCCCCATGGGAGTCCTGAAACATGGAGAGCCAAGATGATGGATGTGGTACTGGAAAACCTCATGCATCAACATGTTAGAGACACTACTAGAGAGAAAGGTGAGGATGATCCGGCAACACTGGACCTATTATTCACCTTGAGTAGTTCGGACATTGATGATATCACGTACGAAAGGCCCCTTGGAGCTAGAGATCATGTAGTTCTGTGCTTTGATTACATAGTTGAGCTACAAGTGGAGAGAGCAGCAGGAATGGAATGGGAAAAACCAAACTACAAAAGGGGGGGATTATGCAGGCATGAGGAACTTCCTATAAGACGTTCAGTGGGAGACAGAATTGGCAGGAAAACTAGTAAAAGAAATGATGGACTATGTGACAACAAAATGCATGGAGGCAGAGGAGAGGTTTGTTCCGAAGGGAAACAGAAATAATGGGAAGATCAGAACGAATCATTGGTTGATCCAAAGGTGTAGGGAGGCAAAAACTAAGTGTACTAGAGAATGGAAAGAGTACCAAACACAAAGGACCCAGGAAAATAAAAAGATTAGCCGAAGAGCCAGAAACGAATATGAACAGATAAGAAGGGAGGTTCAGCTACAATACGAAAATGACATAGCATCAAAAGTCAAGTCTGACACGAAACTGTTGTATAGCCTTATCAGGATGAAAACAATCAAGGACCAGGTAATCAGGCTGAGGGAGGAAGGTGAGGAGTTTACAAGAAACGACCAAGAGGTATGTGAGGAGCTCAACATGAGATTCAAAGACGTATTCACAGTGGAGACAGGAAGGACTTCAGGAATTCAGAATAGGGAGGTACACCAACAAGTGTTGGATGAAATACACACAACCGAGGAGGAGGTGAAGAAGGCGGTGGGACCAGACATCTCTCCATGGGTCATTGGAGAGGCAGCAGAGATGCTGTGTGGGCCACTAACAAAAATCTTCAACACATCCATTGAAACTGGGAAACTATCTGAGGCATGGAAAATGGCAAATGTATTCTCGATTTTTAAGAAAGGAGACGGAAACGAGGCACTAAACTATAGATCAGTGTCACTGATGTGTCTGGCATGCAAAGTCATGGAGAAGATTATCAGGAGAGTGGTGGAGCACCTGGAATGGAACAAGATTATAAACGACAACCAGCACGGATTAATGGAAGGCAAATCCTGTGTCACAAATCTACTGGAGTTTTATGACAAGGTAACAGAAATAAGTCACGAGAGAGAGGGTTGGGGTGATTGCATTTTCTTGGACTGTAAGAAGGCCTTCGACACAGTTCCTCACAAGAGATTAGTGCACAAACTAGAGGATCAGGCACGTATAACAGGAAGGGCACTGCAATGGATCAGATTATTGTTATTATAATCAAGGGGGAAGCGCTAAACCCGGAGGATTATACAGCGCCTGGGGGGGATGTGGAAGGCATTCAGGCTTAATTCGGGGAACTGGAGCACAGATCCAATTCCCTAAATCAAGAGCCCCTCACCAACATCAAGGAACCTTCCTTGAGGGGGCAATAGATCAGAGAATACCTGACAGGGTGGCAACAACGAGTCATGGTCCTTGATGAGGTATCACAGTGGGCTCCTGTGACGAGCGGGGTCCCACAGGGGTCAGTCCTAGGACCAGTGGTATTTTTGGTATATATGAATGACATGATGGAAGTTATAGACTAAGAAGTGTCCCTGTTCGCAGATGATG